AATTAACGACACCGCCAGGTCATTAGCTTTTATATTCTACTAGTTTTTTAATGTGTTTGAATAAAATAAAATGATTGATTTAATGATAATAGTTTTTGTTGAAAGTTATAGAAATGTTAAAATTTTACAAAGACACACTTTTTTGTAGCTTGTTCCAGAAGACAACAAAATTCTTGAAAAACACAAACAGGAACTTCAAAATGCTAGAACTTATGCACGCCGTGCCAGTGCACTAATTGTATCATCAGAAAAGGCAAATGAGGGGGTTACCTGTAATTGTATATTTTTCCTCTTGACACCTATGTGTCAACTTTCCCATCTAATTGTTATCACTAACGGTGACCGATCTAATTCTCACTAGGAGCGTTTTTCTAGCGGCGTTCTTTTTCACTCACTCTTTAGCAGTTCGTTTCTGAATTTCGACACGAATAGACGTATTTGTGCAGTGAAATTTATTTTGAATAATTATTTTATAATTAAAAAAATGTCATCAAGAGAAACAATTTCTTCACGTTGTGACGAAAAAACTGTTGACGATAACTCTTTATACAGTGATGTATCGAAGCAGCGGCTAAAAGATGGAGTATTATATTATGAGAGTTTACTTTTCGAAAATAATTTAATTACAACATTTTCATTCAACACATCCAATGTATTATTGTATAATTCTGTGCCTATCAGCAAAGCATTTTCAGATAGTGTATCAGAAGATGTTGTTGCAATTGAATTATATGAATTATATTATTGAAATAAATACATTATAAGTATTTATGAATTAAAAAAAAAAGTGTACACGAGAATCGAACCCGGGAACTCAAGCATACGAACCAGGATCGTTACCACTCAGCCACAGGACGCTTGAATGGAAATACGTATAATTTATATATAAAGTGCTCAAAAACTTTAAGTTCGTTTTTCTTGATTATATTTGAGTATTGCACTTTAGTATTTTACAGGTAGTACACTCACATGGTGTACTACCTCTACACCAAAGATCATCAAAATCCGTTACCCCAAAGCCGTAGTCTCTCCTTGTTAGTACAAGATAAATAATTTTCATTCTTAAGACACACAGAGTCATCAACAGAGGAGAGCTGGGAGATTTTTCTCAGGCCTAGAGAAAACTTAGGAGTTGTATGGTTTTTATCCCGATAATGTTTTTTTTAATTAACTAAACAAGATCTTTAGACTGCTTTTTTATTAATAAAGAAAAATTCTACATATTAAAAAAAACTACACCCTGGACCCCATACAAGCTCTCAATGACCTGAACATAGATTTTATTTATAATCAAATTAAAATAAATTACTATAATTTCAAACAGAAATCTTATATGTTATAATTCAAAACCTAATTTGAAAGCAGATGTAAGTTATATACAGATTTTAACTGACTTTGAACTTAAACTATTTTTCCTTTGTTTTTTAATCTCTTACTTCAAACTCACTAACTGTGTTTTTAAAAGACATGGAAAAATCCTTTGGGTGATGCAGGTATATACGTCTGCCATTGCAATTTTTTTCTGAAACTATCAAGGGCACATATATATATGTTGTATCTTGAGAACTGTTAAGTTCTTGGTAATCTTCCCTGTCTATAGAATGACTAAGAACTATTTAGAAACCAGCTGTCAATTTTATATCACATCAGTTCTTCACAGTAAGAGCTAAGCAGTCAATTCTCAAATCAGTGTTATTGGATATTAATATTTAATTTTTCTCAAGGCTGTTCTAACATTTACTATTACTATTATTATTATATATTTTACTATCTATTATTTAATAAATAAAATATAAATATGCAGTCGACCCCCCCTATAACACTGTTGATAATTCCATTTTATAAGAATTCCATATTGTACAAGTCACTTAGATTTTACAAATACATGAGCCGTTCACAGTCCAGAACACGTATTTGTAAAATCTAAGTGACTCGTATAACATAGAATTCTTATAAAACGGAATTATCAACAGTGTTATAGGGGGGTTGACTGATAATAGTATGAAAAAATTTTGGCCATTCAGCAAATATTATCATTTTTGAAACTTTGGTAGTTTAAACAACTCAATTAGAAATTTTTATTTTTCCTGTTTACTTATTTTATAATTATATCTACAATGAACTAATGTCTTCTAAATTGCATATACTGTGTGATGTTTTCAGTAACCTTCTCAAAAATGCAGAGTATACATTGTTGTGGATTATACAAAAAATTTTATTTTCACTCTAGAAACTTTTTGCAGGATACATACTAGTTAAGGTTATCTGCATACACAATGACAGTGTAGTTAAATTTTAAAGTTCAAATACTTTCATTATATAATTAGTTATAACATTTTTGTTGTTATCGAAATCGTGTTGTTGTTTATGTATTGTATACTGGCACGATGAAGTGATCGTTTAACCAACACTTGGTTAAACGGTCACTTCATCTTGCCAGTATACAATAGCTATAACATGTTCAAAAAAAACTTATTTTACATAGAATTATATGAATGGAATATTTTTAAATATATTAAAATTTTAAAACAAGCTTGTTTGGTTGAATTTTAAATTTAGCATTACTTAATTTCAAATAAATTTAGATTAATTTATTAAATTAATCATAAACTTATACTCCATAATCTCAGTTAGTTTTACTGTAATATTTCCTAACATTGGGAAATTTCAGAGACAGCTGATTATAAGTTTTTCTATTTTATCCAAATATATTTATTTACGTAATAATAATAATAATAATAATTTGAAAATAATTTATTATTATTATTATAACATTCTTAGTGTCAGAATGATTGAACCAAATCTATCTAATATCTAAAACAATGTTTTTGAGTTATCAAATTCTTTGTAATTCAATTCACATTTTTATCTTTATAAAAGCTAAGCTTAAATAATTTGTTTCAAGAAACAAACAATATTTCAAATACTAACAAATTATAAATGGATTGTTTGAATCTGTTTTATAGATTTTACAAATTGAATTAAAAACCAGACAGAGAGATATCAATAAAATAGTCGAACAGAACAACAAACAATAAAGAAGCAATATTGATATAAAAATATGATATTGTTACATTCACAATGATATAACAAATTTGTCTTGTGAGAAACTAGCACAATTTACATATTTAGAGAATGAGAATGAATTTATTTTGCAGGTTTCCTACTAAAAAAAAAATATACATAGGAATTTAGAGTTAATGAAGTGTGTATAAATTTTTTGAGACATCCAAATGGTCCAATGGAAATGGATATCACCGATTTATTATAAAATTTGGTCCTCACACACAATAAACTCTATATTAATATTGATATATAGCTGTTAATACAAAATCAAATGCTTTCTAGAGCAGCAAATATTTGATTTGTATTAATATATCATTTATACAGCTTTATATACTTACAAAAATATCAATTTTTTCTATTCATTGATTATTCTTCAAAAGAATAATTATTTATAAATAAATTAGAACTACATTAACAATAAAAATTATATAAATTTTGTAATCTGCAAGAAATATTTACCTTGTAATAAATTAACACTCCCAAACACAGGTAATAACTTTTTCAAAAGAACAGATAGGAAACTGTCTAAAGGAAGGGCTTCTTCACTCAAAGAACCTTGATCATACACAATAACATCACATGTTTCACTCACTTCAAACTGACAACAATGAATTAACAAATCTTTTACAGATACCTGAAATAAATTGATTATTATAAAATCATGCTTTTATATTACAGATAGAATCCATAAAATGAAATTAAATATTTCATATAAAACTAACATAATTGTTATACACAAGGTCTATCTGAAAAATTACCAAACTTTTTAAATAAAAAAATTCTTGTTTGAAGCTATTCAATCTTGTCAACTTCAAATTACTTCTTTCCACTGCAAATACGGCATTCCCACATTTCTTCCATCTTTTGAAACATTCTTGGAATGCCTATGTTGGAATACTAATTTAATATAAAGCAAAATTCCAATAGTAAATTTTCCTTTATATCCTCAATTGATTCAAAACATTGGCCTTTCAATGTCATTTTGGAGGATAAAAAAAAGTAAGATCCAGAAAGTAAGGAGGTGTGTAATAATTATTCTGTTTCACCAAAAGTTGACAAATTAGTAGTAATGTGTGCTAAGATGCATGGTTGTGAACAAGTATCCAATGGCTTTCCCTCCAAATATATGACTTTTTTTTTCTGACAGCATCACAAAGACTCTGAATTACTTTAAAATAATACTCTTTTATGTCTTACTATCTGGTCTTGTGGAAGAAATTCATGGTGAATAAACATTCTTGAAATTAAAAAATATTGGTCAGCATCACTTTGACATTTGACTGAATATGTTTCACTTTCTTTTGGTTATTGTAATCCTTTTGACACCAATTTTGATGATTGAGCTTTATTTCAATGTCATATCCATAAACCCATGTCTCATTCCAATAATACTTTTTTTGTTTTTTGGAGGATGGAAACTTTATCCATCCTCATTAGCTCAATTCAAAAGCTCCTCATTCTCACTCACATCAACTTGAAATTGTTTCTGGTCAAAAGGCGAGACAAATTTGACTGCAATGTAATACATGCCTAAATTCTGAGTAAGAATCTCATGACAAACAGTTTATGAAAAAGTTCAAGAATTTTCTGGACAGACCTCTAGAGAAATGTCACAGAGAAGCTTTAAATAAAATATTACATTAATAAAACACATTTTGGGTTAAATTTTGTTTTAATATATTCTAAACTAAGTGTGTTTATTTTTTCAAATACAGTAGAGTATAGATTATCCGACTCAATTGGGGACTGGGGTTGGTCAGATAATTGAAAAGTAGGATAACCGAGAAGTATGAAAAAATCCATTGTTTGTGTAGTATATTATTATATCTCATGTAATTAGTATATCAGTATATTAGTATATTGCTATTAACCTACTTTGCATTGAATTTTCCTCCATGTTAAGCCTATCAAATTTTAAAAAAAAATAATAATCGTTGCTATTGTATCGTTAAAAATTAGAAAATTAAGCCTTGTTTAAATACTGGCTCCCTTTCATGGTCAATCCAGTGTTGCCAGCAAAAACACACAAAAATAATATTAAAGTAGCCAAGACATAGCCAAATATTGTAGCGCCACATCACTAGCGGACATTTGAATTTACAAATTTGTGAATATTGTTTCATTTTAAAATTAATTAGCTAAGTCAGACAAAATTTTGAAAAAATTAATTTGCTATTCACTTATATCTCATTAAAGAAGTTCCTGTAGCTAGAAAACATCAGAAAAATCTAAAATAAAGCATGTGTAGTTAGTCATTATATGTAACAGTCTCATGCAGTCAAGAATTATATTGTATACATAGATGAATACTGACATTCTTGTCAAACAAACTACACTGTATAAGTAAATGTTTACAATTTAAAACTTTTGACAACACACTGAATATTTCACACAGGTGCCAATAGTCAACACAAGTTCACTGAGTACTATTTTATTATCATAATGTATGCTCAGCATGAAAAACTAGTTGAAATCAAATTAGAATTCAACTAGTTGCATGATTGCATGATCCTAAGTAAAATTTGTTTCATCTTCACATTCATTTAATGATAACAGTTAATTCTGTAAAGTTCTTCAATTTCTTGCATACATAATTTTTATAGGTATTGCCTTGAAAAAGTGTGCACAGGGAGTTCTACTAGGAAAGCTGAAATGCAAACATAAGACCAGGACCAGCACTACCATATGGGCAAATTGCAAGGGTAGCAAATTTTCATAAATTTATACTAAATTTTCAGGTGTATTATTTTTTTAAAATATTTTTTTATTTTTATTTATATTACATTGCACAAGTTGAATATTGATTGATGGAACAAGGATGGAGCACTTCTAATTGGTCTGGCATTTCAAAACAAAATTTTTTTCATTTTATGTAGGAAATAAAGGGGCATCAAATGCACATCTTGTCCTGGACAGCATAAACTTTAGTACTAGCTCTGCATAAGACAGTTATTACACAAACAAATTGAAGCTGACAAAAAATGTCTTCACTTTTCGCCATGTCCAATCACCAGAAACAACTATCTTCCACTGCAGAAAAGTGGACTTATGGTGAAAAGTGAAGACATTTTAGTCTCTGTATGTATTTTTATTAAATTGTAAATTTGTCAGCCCTTTTTTACAAATTGAAGCTGATTAAGGAGTTATAAAAAAATTTTTGAACCTGTCCAATTGCACTATAAATATGATTGTCTAAGCCAGTGTTTCTCAACGGGGGCGATATTGCCCCCATGTGGGCGTTTTTCCATGTTGAGGGGGCAATTAGTAACAATTTATATTTTGGGGGGCGAAAAAACAATTTTCTGGGCGATATAGCAAAACATTATATTAAAAATAATTAGATATTTTATTCATAATATCGTACAATAATTAAACAAATAACATTATATTAGTCACTAGTCTATTCAATTCAGTATGAATTTGGTGTTAGTCTTGGTCCTCGGCATTGGAATTTTGAAGTGAAGGGGCGATAATAGGTAACAGTTTTATTGAAGGGGGCGATACTACGTTGAAGGAGGTGACAATTCGTTAGAGGTTGAGAAACACTGGTCTAAGCAAACTGCAACAGATTAACAAATATAAAGAAAAATTGGTATTATGTGATTCCAAATTTGACACTGAGCCATAAAAATCTGGAGAGAAATGTATGCATAAAGTTGAAAATGAAGATTTATAAAATGCTGTTTACAAATGATATACGTAGTCACAAGCAAGTAAATTGCCAGTAAGAAGTGTTGAGATCCAGTCAGTAGTAGAGAAATCAGCTCAATGTTTGTACTGATGGATTTACAGTCACTAGCTGTTGGCTGCAAAAGTAAAATCAATCAAAAAGTTACTGAAGTGAAAATGAACACTGATAAAGAAGCTGTAGAAACATCTAGAAAATGGCTGCAGGAAATGATTGGTATTGAAAATATTCTGAGCCAGTTGTACAATGCTGATGAGAATGGTCTGTTTTGGAAAACATTGCCATAAAACACACAGGTATCAGAAAATAAACATATTCTAGAATGCAAGTTGTCCAAAGAGCATGCTTTTTTTGCTGTTGTGTGCTGATGCTGATGAGAACCATATGCTGAAACCAAAGATCATGGGCAAAAGCAAGAAACCATGGGTGATAAAGGAGATAAAACAAAAAAAAAGTGGTTCATTATACTGGTAAAATTACATAGTTTACTACCATCATTACTAAAAACTGGCTTTTCATCATGCTATTCCAGAGAAACAGCACATGAAAATAGAACTGAAAATCTTAATCCTTCTTGATAATGTTCCTTCACATCAGCAAAGAAGGATAGGAAAATCCACTCTCATACATTTTCTCCTAACACCACCTTACTGATCCAGTCCTATAAATCAAGGTATTCTTTGTACTGTAAAGCAACTTTGCAAGAAAAAGTTCCTGGATGAAGTGATGGTGTGATAGTGGTCCAGGAAAAAGTGAGGCTGAAGAAGACAATGAAAGGGGAGAGAGAACACAGAAAACCTTGAATTAACACATAAATATTTAACACATAACTTAACACATAAATATTACCAAACTACAGGCTCTGGTAAGAATGAAACCACAATTGATAAGGATGAAGTTTGGTTGGAGGCAGACAAAGATGATTCTTGGTGACTACAACCTCATAGAAGTGATTGTGGAATCTATTGCTTTGATCTCCAAAGAATCAGATAAAGATACAAACAACAATTATTTTATTGTGACATTGTCACAATACCGTGCTGCAATTTTTAATTATATTTTTTAATTTATTCAATTTAAAATATATGCCCCTGTACATCATACTTTTCATTTAGCAATTGAGTTGTGTGAGTCACCTAACTCCTTTCAGGGGAAATTTTTGAATTGAAATAACATGATTTCCAGTATGCATCAGAAGCTTGCATATAGTTAATCGGGGCCTCCTGCCCTTAACTTTTTATATCTGGTCTCGGTTTTCATCTATCTAACATTCTCAAGATTAAGGAAAGACGTAGATAAGGAAAGACAAATGACAGAGTAAATTTATAGGTCTACAGATTTTTTCAAATTTCAGCCCGAAAATAAAAAATTACATTGCTCAGGTTTCAATCAGCATTCAGAAGCCAGGGAACATTTATATACACTCATTCTCTATGTCCAGCAGATAATAATGAACACATCACTGCATACTTTGACCATCTTTGATTATTGAGAAAAAATTATCAAGGAGCAAAGAGAACATGATCATCAAAACAAAAATTAGCAGCTTATTTTGTCCATATCTCCTCAACCAAGCACAAGCCATGCGATATCATCCCACCCATCTCACCTAATGTGATATGATTCAACAGGACATTAACTATGTCTATTTTGTCTTCAGGCTCCAAGTGAGCCATCATCATTACAGTAACAAACTGTTCCAATACAATGTCATTAATTCAACTTAGTGGAGTTTCACTGTATTGCTATTACTTCTTGTCTAAGTAGCATTTGCAAATGCTACTTAGGTACACATTTATTTCAGAAAATTAAAAAGTATTAAATTTTTATAGTTTTATTTACTGTATCTAGATTAAAATACAATCAAAATCAAACCACTTATAAATAGTTATAAAATTCAAAATTAATCAAGGTTTAAAAATCTTCTGTAAAAATATTAAGAGGAAATTAATTTGTCTAGAAAAAATAAACACACATACAATATTTCAATATTTATTAAGTACCTTATCTTGCTGAAGTCGTCTTTTCACAATTTTAGAACAACATACATTAATAGCATTACAAACATGGCACGTATTAAATTCCAAAAATGACCTACTGTCAATAATGAGTACCTAAAAGTAAAAATTTCATTAAATGAAAATTACTACCAAATATAATAATAAATTTAAAAAATTTAAGTTTATTTGTTAAATAATACACACAATACCATTATCAAACTTTGCTAAAAAAATATATTTCACATTTACTCATTCTTAAAAGAAAAGTCGCTTTTAACAATTTTACAAAATGAAACTATATTTGCAATTTTATAATTGTAAATACTATACAACTTATAAATATAAATACAGTATTTTACAAATACATACAAAAAAAAATTAAGTTTAATCTTACATGAAAAAAAAATATATTTGAAATTTAT